AATTCTTTTATAGGGAAAGGGGGCAGGGGGAAATTTCCTTCCTTCCTAGTTTTTGTTATCAATAGCAAAAGTTGATCTACCTTTGTTCTCCCCCTTCCCTGTATCCTTCTCCTCTTTTCCTTCACCTGGCTCTGGAGACCATTGTTGTCAGTCAGCCAAACCATCAGTCTTTTGGTGGTGGTGTACTTCAAACAGACTGGGTTAAGCAGAACAAATACTGTTGCTAGTTAACCAGCTTACTTCTTAGGCATTAGCTGCTGTGACTGTCGTGCCATTCTGTACTCCCTCCCTGCAAAGCAGCTAGGCAGGTGCTTGTTCATATTGCTGATAGAGTGTTAAACCGAGGAGTTTTTCCCTCCTGTTTCCTTTTGCAAAATATCATGCTTATGTGTGTAATACAAGCATTAAAGTACACTTACAGCTTTAAACTGTTGTTGTTTTTTGTTTTTTTTTTTTTTTAAATACAGGTTTCATTGACCCCAGGAGAAAAAAAAAAGGGATTTCATATAAACAATGAAGCTTTTGAGAACTGTATGTCTCATTTATAGACCTCTCTGCATGTATTTAGTATTGTTTTAAGCAGTGCTTTAACAAACCTGGAAAATGTTGCTGGAAGTAAAGGAAAGCATTGACTCTGCCACAAAGGACAGAAACTATGAGATTGAGTTGAGCACTTGATTTTCAAGAGTAAATAAATCACTCTTAAGGAGTTCTGGGACACACAACTTGAGAAGCACCTTTTGAAGAGCATGATTTCAACAGGCTTTATCAAGTCTATAGACTGAGTCAGTGTTAGGGCTTAAGTTGGAATGACTTCTGACTTAAAAGTGGACTGATAAACTGCGAAAGGAATATCCTGAAACAACTGAAAGGTACAGAACATTTAATTTCTAAACATTACAGAATAATTTTTTTTTCTGGAAGAAATGAAATTGGTATTTAAATCTGCCACTTCTACAGTGTCAGATTATTTAAGATTAAAAGCACGTTCAAACAAAAAAGGATAGTTCCAAAGCAGGGAAAGTAGAAGAGGAGAGATAGGGACAGGACAGTATTACAGTAATCCTCTTGCTTTCCTTGTTCTGCTCGTCTCTCCCATCCCCTCCCCGTTCGAATGTCAAGAAACTGATCATGGAAATGAGATTTTGGGTAACCATTGCATTTTACTTTTTTTTACAACTAGTCTTCTTCAGAACAACTCCACCTAAATCAAAGCTGATGGCTACTGATTTACTTGTGTTTAGGCTTTCTTCAGGCTTTTTACTTTCTTTAGGCTTTCATCCATTATGAGAAAAAACCTTCCATTTTGTTAAAGGAAGTTGAGTAATTCAGGTGTTCTGAATTTTACATTTTCTTTTTACATTTTACAGTTTCTTACTGTATCTCAGGCACACATTTATACCAGTGGAAACTGAGGTCAAAATGCTGAAGTAGAATGTTTTGCAACTTTTTCTCCTTCTCTGACCACATTTGCTCAATTTCTGCTTTCAGTGTTTTGGATGCAGAATTAATCATCCCTGATTTCAGGCTGGCTGTCATATTGTCAGGCTCCTTATACCATTGCAAAAAATTAAACAATGCAGAAAAGGTCAGCAGATCTCTCAGGGATGCCTGAAATCAAAGTGTCAAGCTACTAGCAATTTAATTCTTGCTCCAGAGTATTCTCTATTTCAGATTGTGCCAGTGCTGCTTCAGACTTCTGCAGAGAAATGAAACTCCAACCGGTTCTTTTCGTGTGGGGTTTAAGGTTTATGATTGTGTATGTTTTGCACTGCATAGAATAAAATCTTGTGCGGTTCTATGTTTTTGATATATGATGGTAGTGTGAGAGGTCCACTTGTCAATATTCTAGTCTAACAAAACAGTAGCTATGGTTTCTGAGACAATTTTAATTTATTGTGTACCCTACAGTGAAGCTGTTCTTTGCCACAGCAAAGATGAGAGACTGGAAATGGAGGTGAAGGGGAAAAATGAATAATTATACACGTGTTCTCCGAAAGAGTTCTCCATGTCAGGATGAAGGGAACTATTTGCTCAAGGATCTGCTGAAGTCAAATAGCAAAGGTAATTTGTGTTCCTAAATGGTTAATCATGGCTTAAAAATACCCGTATTGACAGGAACGGCAGGATAAATGTCATTGGAACTTTTTGTTTTTTTAATACACCTTAAGAAATAAAACAAAGCAAATACATTTGGTGGCGCCCTCAGGAAAAGTCTAGTCACTTCCTGAACAGTAATCTGCCTGTGAGCAGCAGATAGATTCTCATTGTTTGCCATTTCCAGTTTCCAGTAATGGGAATGATTACTTGATGTAGCCAGTTTCTGTTGAAGATCTGGGAAAACTTACAAATTTTAATGGCAAAGTTTTATCTGTTTTCATAAAACAACAACAGAAAAAAAACATAACCTGCTTTTGGTACCTGGAGGCATCACCTCTGATGATGAATATTGGTTTGTTTTGGAATTAAGTGTCTGTTCTTCAGCAACGAGATGTATCTTGCTCTTCTGGTGATTTTCTTGCAGTGTAAGTTTGATAACTAAATATCTGGGTGGGTATGTGTGTTTCTGGTTTGTTTGGGGTTTGTTGGAGTTTTTCACTGTTTCCAATTACTGTCTCTCAATCTGTAAGCTTTGAAAATAATACTTCTTTTCACTTTTTTCCAGATTCAGAACTTTACACTCAGGAGAGAGGTAGGTAACGATAGGGGGTTTTACATACAAATTTAAACTAAGTAATTGAACTAATTCCTCAGTTGTTGGTGTACGTCCATAACAGAGTTTATCTGGATTTGCTGTGCTATAGCTCAGTACGAAATTTGGCTGTAGGGGGCGGGGGGGGAAAAAGATACCACTTACTTGTTGGTGTTTCTTGGCGTAGTGTTTAAATGAGAGATGTGCTGCTTGTACTTTCATAAATGTTTTGGTGAAATCTTTCCTAGAGCAATTTGCTTTACGGAGGCATACAAACGAATAGATGCGAGAGGAAATTTAATTACTAGCATTTTGTTTAAAAAACCATCTCATGCCCACAAGCAAGGAGGTAGGATGAAATGGTAGAATATAAGTTAAGGGCACTCTCTGTTGCTCTTTTTCTTGCAAAAGAAAAGGTCATGTCTGAGCAGAGTACAGAACTTGTTTTCTGAAAGGAACACGTTTACTTTTTACGTTATCATCCTGCTGACTTCCAGCACGTACGCTCTGCATACTTCCTTTTCCCATCACTAGGGAGAAATGTTTGCCTCTTGTTGTCATGTAGGCTATTCGCATGCAAAAAAACTTACAATTTTTGTGTTGGTTTTAGGCCCAAAATTCTTTCTAGCAAGGACAATCTGTAAATAGCTGGTAAGTGCACATGGCAAGAGACTTCTTTAGATGCAGCATTTCCTGTTCTAGTAGCAAATTTCTAATATAAATCTTATTCAAAATGGGCATACCTAAAAGCTGTAAGTTCTAAAGGAAGGGAAAGTGAATGACCTCATAAATCTTTCCCTTTTTCCCTATACTTGTTTATCTAGCTGTGTGAATAAAAATATTAAATATACCAGGATTCTAATAATTATAAAATTTTAAACTACAAATTATTTGTCATTGCTGTGATTATAAACACAGAAGCACTATATATATATATAAATATAAAAAAATGCTATTATGAACTTTATTTCTTAGAGTGCTTACCAATTTTTCACTTTTTTTAAACAGGAATATTGTATTCAGTGTATTTTTTCAGGGACTAACATTTCTAAATTAATTGAAAGCATTGCTTCTGCATATGATTCTGCATTTGAATTAATCAGAGGTTGATTGCTAAGGATTCTGGAGAGTACGATTGCTGCACTGCCGACAATGTAAAGTTAGGCATGTACATGTTTGCTTGCAGAACTTGAACTCCAGTATATTCTGTTTCCCTCTAGTTACAGTAAACTAGAGATTTAAGATTATCCCAAGCTTGCGAGTTACATGTTTAAAGGGGAATTTGCTCAATGACATAACCCTAACCTTACTTTCAGATAAAAACTACTGGGATAACTCCAGGGATTTCTGCTAATTAGGGATGAATTGACTTGGGATTTAATGCAACTCTAAGCAGGGTTTTACTGTCATTTTTCAGTTTATTCAGACAAGTATAAATACCAAATTTTGTTCACCTCTCAGATTTCTTGCCAATTAGAGCTGAATACTACAGACCATGAAAAATAAGGAAAACCAACAAGTATCTGCAAACCTATTCCAGTGTCCTCTGTGCCTCCTAGGGAATTTACTAGATTTGGCCACGAGCATAGCCAAATCAAGGATTCTCTCAGTCCCCTGAGGCAAAGACTGAGCAGATGGATGGTGTGTGCTGTGACAATTGGTCGTTGCCTCTAGTATATCCGTGCAGTGGAAGGTAAAGCTGCTACCACTGTCAACATCTGTGGGATGTGACCACAGAAATGATAACACCTGCTGCTAGGATACAGTGAATTAATTGTTGTGATTAAAATGTAGCAGCTTGAGGTAACAGTATTATGTCAGACTGATTAAAAATCAATATAACTCTTTTTTATTTTTTCCATCAAGTTTTTACTTTCAACACAGTTGAAATCAAGGTTCAGCCATCTGCCAAAGTAAAGAATGGAGCGCCTGTGTCAATTGTCTGCCACGCCGATATTAGCAAAAGTACTGATTTCCAGCTGAAGCTGAATTTTACAATTTTCAAGGATGGCAAGGTTGTGTTCATGACTGTATCGGATACAGGAGATGCACAATATGAAATATCTATGGCTAGATCTTCAGATACAGGAGACTATGAATGTACTGTGCAAGCAGGCAGAAAGACAAAATCCAGTAACTCCGTACACGTCTGGGTGACAGGTGAGTATTCCTTCAAACATGGCAGTTTTCTAAGATACAAAAAGAGAACAACCTTCCAGGAGAAGTAATAATAGTCAGTGCTAAGCAGGATAATTTGCAAAGTGTTTTTTATCCGTAGACATTATAGCACTTCACTGGAGTCAGGAATACAATCTGAGCCTCCCGTGCCACCATCCCCTCTGTCCTTGTGTTATTTGTGAAAGCTTGTGCCTGTAGATCACAAAATATTGGGGGTTGAGTAGATTACTGGAAAAGCTGGAAATCAGGTATGGAGAGTCTCACCTTGTGACAGCCTTTGCCAAAGCCAGGATCAGCTGTGGACTACTTTTGTGGACAATATTATATCAGTCTTGTTCTGTCATCTCTTACGAGAACAGAGGCCATCTCCATCTATACTCTTTCTAGCTGTGTGTTCTTGACTGCAAGTGACATTTTTCCCCTTGGAAGAGCAAATTGGGAAGAACTAGTTCAGCATTAAATAGGTACAGAGTTGTTCAGGGCCTGTAATTTTTCTTCAGAGGCCTGCACCTCGAGGTGTAGAGGTTGGGAAGGCATTTAGTTTCTTTTGTTCGTTTCTGAGTGGTAATAGGAAACACTGAGGAGGAATCAATCTTACCTTCAAAACAGCAAGTTTCATACTTCACACATTGCATTAAGATTGTATTAGCCTCTGGAGGGACATTTTGTTCTTCTTGAAGGTGCCTTGGCACGCACCCATGCATCAAAGGAACGGTCTTCAAAAGCTCAGTTCTTGCAAATTATTTGCATCTGTTCATTAGCATATATGATGACCATAGCCATCAGGGAGACTATTCTATTTCTTTTCTTGTTGTCTGTTCTAAGGAATGACGAAGCCAATCCTGACTTCTGAGAAAAGAGAAGTTTTAGAGGGTGAAGTTGTGAAATTACGTTGTGAGCTGCCAGAAGAAGCACCTCCTTTACATTTCTTTTTCCGGAAGATAAAGATGAATTCAACACCTAAAGAAAAAGATGTGTATGAGCCATACAAAAATTTTTCTGTAGTGGAATTTTCTGTTGAAGAGGACGATAATATTTTACAATTCGATTGCTTTGGTAAGAGAACAGTAAAATCAGAATTTGAAATCTCAGAACACAGCAACAAAACACTTGTAACAGTCAGGGGTAAGTTGCTTAGCTTTTCTTTTTACATTTATTTTCTTGCTATAGTTAAAAAGTTGGGTCATGAGTTCATGTGTATTTTCTTGCAGAACCATTTATAAAGCCTACTCTGAATGCCAAGCCCTCAAGTAATATTACAGAAGGAGACAGAATACAGTTTGAATGCTCAACTGTGGTAGCCCAGATGCGTGACATTGAAATCATACTCCAGAAAAACAAAACAATACTGAAGAGTGTACAAGATGAGAAACTTTTGGAATACTCTGCAGTAGCTACTCTAGAGGACAGTGGCGAATACCTATGTAAGGTGGAGCAAGGGAGAGCATCTAAATCCACCAAACTGAATGTTGTTGTGTCAGGTAACATCTCTGTTCATCTTAGATTTTACTCAATGGATTAATATTTAAATTTAAATTTGATAGAACTCAAGGTCCAGTGTAACCTCCAGATCCAAGTGTAAATTTTCCCTAAGTTAAAGGCTATTTATATTTAGATTTCAGTTTCTGATTTGTGTCTGCCAGTACTTTCCAACTAAAATAATACTTTCAAATAACGCATGTGAAGAGTGGTTTAAGTGATTGCTAAATTTCTGTTTTCTCTGAAAATATTATTATATTAAAATAACATGATTGGGTTTTTTCCCTGATTGTAAACTTTCAGTATGTCTGTCATTCTATATACTTTGAGTTAGGTAGGTGTATGCTTTCAGGCTCAATTTGAAGGTATTAATTCTCTTTTTGTCTTGCAGAGTTATTCCCCAAGCCAATATTGGCTGCTTCTATGAGTAAACTGGATGAAAATAAAGAATTAACTTTGAGTTGCAGCATTAGTGGTTTTCGGAAAGCTAACTTCTCTATATTACGGAAAAAATCAAATGGAGACATCTGGTTGAAAAATTCTAGAAACTTAACAATGAGAGTTAACGTAAATGATACTGGATACTATATCTGTAAAGCTGAAGTAAAAGGAATAGTCAAGGAAAGCAAACCTGTAAGGATAAACGTTTATGGTGAGTTGATACAGAGGCTTTGAACCCAATTGTGGAGGGAAGAAATCAAAACCATAAGCTTATAAGTAAGCATATCTGTTTACAGAATCAGTCTCTAGTCCATGAACTAGCAGGGTGCCCATTAGTTCTTGCAATATTAATTGCTGTGAGATGTGCTTGTCATCTTCAGCTACAGAGGATTTGGCCTATTTTGGTCTAATCAAGTCAGACTTTTCCAGGGCTGGCCCGAGGAGAAGGGAGTTAACGTGTCTTCCTTCTGTTCCCTTGATTCTGGTAGGTGCCGGATAAATTCTCATTCATTACCATTTGCAGGAGATGGGAATGTTCTGCAAACCTTTGACTCATCTGTTTTGTCTGAAACTTTGTCAGTGTCTGCCTTGAATCCCTCTCCCCAGGCAGAAAGCCATGGGAGCCAGAGGTCATCTGGATAGCTCTTCTCCAGAAAAGCCAAGTTTTTTGCTATCAGTACAACCCCCCCACCAGCGCGCTAATTATAAACACCCCAGTTTCCTTCCCTCTCATGGAACAAGCACAGTTAGTTCTCAGGTTTGTAACGGGGGATTGACTGGGTTGTGACTCACTGTGCTGCAGAAACAGAGGTCCCTGATGATGTGCTGTAGGATCCACCTCAGGTAATACATGCAATGGTACTTGCATATATTTTTGTTCTACAGACTTACTCCTTGGGTCAGAGCTGGTTCTGGAGTTTGGATGATCCACAGCTGTGTCACTGATTCTTTTTTTTTGTTTTCCTTTACATTCTCCTTGTGTGCTATTTTATTCTAAGTCACGTATGTTCTACTGTCTATGTTTTGTTTTGTTAAGTCGCCCTGCTTCCATTCTGTCAATGAAAAAGAGCTTCCCAATATAGGCTCTGTATGCAAACAAGCATATTGTATATTTATATGTTTTGTATAAAATAATATAGTATCTTTTGGCCTTATGCGGTGTAATTTGCAACATTTTTTTCCTTTATTCCCCTTTTTAGCTCCAGTCTCCAAGCCAACTCTTTCCGTTGTCGGTGGTTTACCGGAGGTGGTGTTAGGGAAGCCTCTACAGTTAATCTGTCGTTCAGTGATGGGAACACCACCAATAACATTCACATTCTACAAAGGAACTGAAGTTAAGAAAACAGTAATTAATGACACATATGCTACGTTTTTGGATGAAAATGTTAAACAAAATGACAAAAGAGGATACAAATGTGATGCTAGAAATAATCACTCCAGTGGTGCGAAAGCCAGCAATATTCTAAACGTTACAGTAATAAGTAAGTCTGTTTAATTCTTCTTCTTGTCTAATGTCATATTTTGACTTTTGAAACTGTAGCAGCAAATGATAGACTAAGCAAAACAGATGTGAAATGTTTACAAATTTTTGCTCACTTGAATTAAAAATAGTTGGAGGTCTGTATCACAGACTGTCACCAAAGTAAAAATCCTGATAGTAATCCAAATCAAGTTAACTACAATTGAGTTTATTTTAATGTTAAAACCAGATCTGACTTGAAATCTTATAGAAACTGTTTTAGCAAAATTAATGGTTAAACATTTCAGGATCAGATCAATTTTCTTCATATTTCATTTCATGGAATTGGATTAAATGTATACATAATGATATTGGAGTTAGTCTGTGATTTTGCTCACTAAAATAATTGAGGAAGCTAGATTCCTGGTAAAAGATGTAAATCCACACTTTCAATGAATCCCTCTAAATAGTGCTATTATTAGTTGCAATTTTCAGAGGCACTGAGCCTATGTTCAACACCAGAAGCTACCGTTGCTAAGTAGCTCTGAAATACAGTCTATGATTACGCCTTATTGGCAGCTAGGAGTTACAGTATATGAGCGAAGTCTCTGATCTACAAATATACGTGAAGCAGAAAAGGAAAATTCCTCTGCCATGAGGGAAGTTGGTACTTGAAGCTTTAAAAAGATGATGAATTGGAAGTTCACAGAAGAAAGCATGACATCGAATGTACACTGGGAATCTTAGCATACTCCAAGAAAGGCAATGCAAGTAGAAGAGCTGTGATTTGCAGGTGTGCTATTGGCAGATATGAAGAGAAACCAAAGCAAATAATAATTCTGTAGTAGACCACGTTAAGAGCAGTGTCAGACTGATAACACTTACAACATGTATGTGTGGTTTCCCCTGTCATTATGTGTGTGAGAGCGTCTTGTCTTGGTAGGATTTTTTTAACCAGTATGCTATGTTCCGGTAGATTTGTTTGGTGCACTCAGAGCAGATGGTAGTGAGATTTCCCGTGACAGTTCCTGGTTTAGATCCTAGTGGTTCAAAGGTTTGGCTCAAGAAAATTCTGTCACTGATTTAGGTACGTTCTGTCCCCATCACAAGCAATTCCTGTCTGCCCAAAGAACTTATTTGTTAACAATAGATTTTGCTATGGGGCTTAAGGAAGTTTCTTAGATATCCTGTACCCAAGATATGGATTGGACCTTGAATTTAATTTGAAAATCTAAGATAAACAATTGTAGAGAACAGTGTCTGTTTGAGGAGGCGTACTGAAGCCTTCTGCACTAGATGAAGGTCCCTAAAAATTGCAGGCTTTGTGTTGACAGATACTGTCTTGTCGGGCTTCATCTTTGATAGCAAATGGGGTAAGCAGAAATAATAGTTTCCTACCCAAATGGAAATAAAGCATTGATTGTGCTGCAGCTCCTGGAGGACTCAAGAATATCTCAATCTATAGAAAGAACCAACTAATTGTAGGTATTGACCTTTTATTAAAGGAAATAATAATTTGCCTGTAACATCTTCACAATGTTTGTCTGCTCAGTAGTGTCACTGCCACCTTACTTGGTTCAGAGTTGGTCAGTTTCATCGGTCGGATGTTGCCAAAAATTTGACTATTTTATTAGTAGTATGGCAATATGTGGTGCAAGATAAGTAGAGCTGTGTATCCTATGCATGTTGTTGACACCTATGTCAATGTCGTTTGACCAGATAGTAACTGCATACTGCTCTTGGAAAAAAACAGAGTTCTTTGGAACTGTAAGGAGGGAATTGGTGATGGAGGATCCCTTGTAGAGCCATTTTTACCCATATGCTCGGTTCCTTGCTTGAATGTATCAGCAGTACTTTAGATTTACCTAACCTGATTACAGCAACCTAGTCCAGGACCAAAGATTTCTTGACCTATTGAAAAGAAGAGAGAATCTCTCTCTACCAAGGAATTTTCAGTTTTGTATCCTGACTTGAACTGAAATTGTGTTGGTTTTGATGAGATAAACATGCAGTTAATAGACTGGTTTCTCTCTGAGCTTTGGCATTGAGCTGTGTATGACTAGAACAGATAGATCCAGAGTTGTTGCATTTCTCCTGAGTCAGTTGGATTATTGTACAGTGGAAGGATGTGCTCTCCACTCTCTGAGCATCCGAACAACTCTCTTAATACAGTGTTTGCGTTTGCCTAGGCTGTAGAGGTAGGACTGCACCCTAAGTTCATCAGTTCTGCCAGGATATGCTTTGCTAATGCTAGAGAGAGACTGAATGATAAAACTCTGCAAGGATTTATCCAGTGAGACTTAAAGTCAAGGTAATTTGAAATGACGCGTAACAAATAGACAAATACAAAGCTTTATCTTAGTCCGTTAACAAGCGAATATTTTTTTGCTGGAACCAGTGTATCCCAGCTGTTAGAGCAGTGGTTCAGGATATATGGTGACATTGTTAGGAAGTTCTGAATAGAAAGTCACATTTTGGAGCCTGGTGAGCCGGTGTTCTGCCATCCACCGCTCCTGAGGTGGCAGCTTCGAATTCTTTGGATTCTGTCCTTGCAGTCGGTAGCAGAGCTGAAAAAAGGTATAAGTTTTATACAGCAATCCTCTTTACCATGGTGTCGGTTGTAGTAACCCATGTCTTACACCTAAATCTGCTTTCTGCTTCCTACCTAATACAAGTACAGTTTTCATGACTAGCATCTTTTCATATCAGCTTTGATTTTCTCCTGTGTCTGTACCAGTGTTGCCTTAATGACTCCTTCCTTACATCTGCCCTGTCTTATCCATGACCCTGCCCAAACACATTTATGATATTTCCAGAGAAATTTTGTTGAGTGATTTAAGCAAAACAGATGCTTCATATCCCAAACATTGTGTGAAGCTACTAGCATTCTACATGCGTTGCATTACAGAATGTACATACATTTTTTTCCCCATGTAATTTTAAGTGCTGATGCTCATCTGCTCCTACACTGGCTCTGTATATGCTAATGTACTCAATTTGTAAAACAACAAACTTAAAAACTATATTTTGGTTATGCATATTCTTGCAACTTGTTCAAATGCAAGCTAACTTCTCTCATTGTGTTTGCTGTCTTCTGTGACCATGAGAATTTGGGACTTGCTTATGCCTTTGAAGAATTTGATCCATGATCTGCTGATATTCACTACTATATATTAAATGTTACAAGAAAGAGATAATAGTTAGCATAAACCAGCACAACGCTACATAATTCTGAAAGCATAGCTACATAAATTGTACTATAATTATTTACACTATTGAACTGCTGAGCGTATTATTTCTGAAAATTTATTAATTTGTAGAATGGGGCCTGAGGGCCATCCAAAGGAGTTTAAGAAAAGAGGACTGACTTCTCTGGAATGGATATAGTTTCTTTCTGTGTCTGCTTTGTTTCTTTATAGTGCCCTCTCTATTTCTGGGTGTATAAGAATATTTACTAGAGGATGCTGTCTGTTAAAGACTGTTCAGAAAGATTAATACTGTGCATTCAGTCTCTGTGTAACTAAGTAAAATGTCATTACAGCAAGTATTTCTACAATACAATATTTTATCATTGAAGTTATTTCTAATAGTGTTAATAGTTGTTTTCTTTGTGCCTTCCTTCGTAGTACCAATCAGGGATGCCAGCTTAGGCAGTATTCCGTATGGAGAAGTGGAAGAAGGCAGTGAGACTGCTTTTCTCTGCTCTGTGAAAGAAGGATCTTGGCCAATTCACTTCAGGATTTTTAGAAAAACTGATCGTGAAGTTCTTCTTTTTGAAGAAAGTCAAAATGCAGACAGAATCATATGGCGCAAGGAAACAATGAACAGGCAGGACACGGGGACATACTACTGCGTGGCTTCTAATCGAGCTAATGTGGATGTGAAAAGCCATCCCATAACCATCAGTGGTAAGCTCACTTTTATGATAAGCTGCACGCTATGTCAGCATGACAGGTGAGGTCATGTTATTTGGTATGTTATGAAGTGTAACTCCCATACTTGTTCTTGTTCCACCACTGTCAGAAGTTAAATAGAGAGATCCATGTATAAACAGGGATCGTCTAACTTACATGTAAACCTTTAAGGGATGCTCAAAAGCCAAAGGAGCCAGATGCAAGCTGACAGCAACCCGCTGTTGTATGGAGTTTTCAGTCACAAGTGAGAGGCTCACTAGTGAACTCTGCATGCGAGTCTCCTTAAAGTTCTTCTCCAGTGTGTAAGAAGGCCAGTTTGTAGTGAAATGAAAGCTCAGGAACTGCAGGAGTTGGTAATGATGACCTGTCACTGTACATACTCTCTTAAACGTGTCTTTCTTATTTCCAGTCATCTTAGCGGCTTGGCAGAAAGGAGTCATCGCTGCGTTTGTCCTAGTTCTTATCGCAGGAGCAGTGACTCTCATTTTATGGTGGTTTTTGTGTAAGAAGAAAAAGGGTAATGAATGATTCCCTTCTGTTTCTTTGGTGACTAATGCATTACAGTTAAAAACTCACTTTTGTTTCAGAAGCAAAGGCTTGTGGAGGCGAGGCTTCAGATGACTAAATTTGAAAAACCTAAAAATCTGCTTAAAAATGTCGGATGGCCCAAATTAAGCTGCAAGTGTGCTGGAGCTTTCCAAGTATATTGGGCAAAATGCGAGCAGCTAACTAATGGTGCTGGGAAGGCACCAGTGAAGCAAAGATTATTGGAGATAGGCCAGAATTGCACTGTTCTGATGCAGTCTGGAATTCAGTCCTGTGCAATGTAGAGGCAGATAGGACCTTTGGATTTTTTTTGTTCCCTTATAAAGCTAGGACAGTTTGATTTGGGATCCCAACTTGGGTGTAACTGAAGTACTTCTCTAGTCCTCATGAAACAAATTTAAGATTATTAGGTCGTGGGTTTGTTGCACTTTTTTTTTTTTCTCTCCACACTGTAATACGATTTCAGTTAAGGATTTGTCTTTTATCATTAAGGTATTCTTTCAGATCCTGTTCTTTCAGAAAATAAGTAAATTTGGTTAAACGAAAATCCTGTGATATGCAGTAGACTGCAAAATACTTGGGAAATTTTGAATTATCTGCATGTCTCAGACTAAATCAGCCAGGCTAGTCTGGGGTTTGGGATCTTGGGTTCTCTGTGAAAGAGATACTTAACGGACCTGGGTGATAAACAGGATGTAAGACACTAGGTAATTAATTTTGTGATAGCCAGGAGAAATTATTCTGACTTGGGTAGATAATCACTGTATTTTTGGTTTGATTTGTACTTTCAATTCTTTTACTTGTGCAATCTATTAATAGATGTTTTTATTTTTCCCTGTCAAGCTAAAGGACCATCCATGGAGATGTCTGGGTAAGATGGCTTGCTTTATGGTAATGGTGAAGTATTTCTGTTTAAAGGGCTGGAGACCTTCTATCATATGAGTATAGTTTATTATAGCACACACATCTGCAGACAATAGATGGTTGTGTTTCACATACCACCTGCTAACACAACAACAGGATGAGGAAGTACTCTAAAAATAGAAAAAATAGGCCAGCTAAGAGAAATAGAAGAATGTCTGGCCTACATTTGAATGCGTTTAGATACGGACTTAAAAATACAGAGGTCTTAAAGAAGGGTAATGCAAGAGGGAACATTTTTGGCCTTAAAGTCTGCTTGTGCTTCTCTTAAAGACAAAGACAAAATTTTTATTAGCTTCAATAGTTAAGAATGTGTGGTAGTCAGCATGGGCAATGACTGAACTTTGCAAATCATCGTGATGTTGCTTTTATTGACGGTTTTTGCATAATTACGTCAACTTTTATTGGTTTGCTTTTCAGTTCTGCCTTGGCTACAAACTTGACAAGTGAAAAACTGACAAGACAGCCCAATGATGGAGACTACTATTCAGGTAGGATGTTTTGCTGTGAGATTATTAGTGAGTTGGCTTAATTAAACATTTATTTGAAGTTCTGGACTTACATGGTTGTTGTCTGGATAGAGGCCAGTGTTTGGGAATACAGAGGAACACCAATAACATTCTCCCAAGTATCTTCTGTCAGTTTTTTATGATCATGCCTTATATGAAGATTGGTTTGTAAGTCTGCTCACACACTTCTACCAGGAAATTAGTTAACAATATTACAGATGGAGAAATTACAGTAAAAGAAAATTGCTTTCTGTTTTGATAGTTTTGACACAGCTGGAAGTAAATTACTTCAGAGAGGAGATTTGAGTTGTGGTGCATGATCCTGTGATCTGGCCACTATATAGTGATGTTAGCTTGCCATGACTGGACACCTTTCATTCCAGGATCTCAATGCACTTTACAAAGATAGGTGGGCATGTAGTTTAGAGCACCTGATACAAACAAAGTCACCCCTTGGGTGTTTTTTAACTGATCACTTAAAAAGCCACATTATTCTCACCTGTGAGTATCTCAGTTGTGAATTTAGAAGTTCATTTTCTCATATGTAAATAAACATAATGACAATAGGAGTTGCAACTGTGTAACTCATTCATTTGATTGACTATCGTAAATATTGTCAGCTCAAATTTGCTTTAATGTTTTAGGATCAGTTTACATTGAAGATAGTGAAAATCACATGAAATCAACAGATGAAAGTAAAGGTAATTTCATACTTAAATAATAGATTTAAAAATTATTTTATGATTGAAAGCTGTGATGTTTTCTAATGATAGCAATCAGCATTTTATAGGTCCAGTCCTTTCCTTTTTCTCTTTGATACTAGTAAAGATTCTTTCCTTTGCTGAGCTTAGTTCTTTTTCCTTACACGCAAAATGGTAACGATAGAACCCATTTACCAGCTGCATGACAAAGTGTAATTAGTTGTGCTGGATGCCAGGCCTTCTAATGAAGGATGATATAAAAATACAACTTAGACTCAAAGTTTCAAGTTCTATACGACTTCTTAAAATAATCTTTTCTACTGACTTCTGCTTCCTTTACTTCTCTATCCTTTCTTCATTTCTTTGGATCTTGAAATATTTAATCATTAACCCTAAAAATAATCTGCTATGAAATTTGAATAAAATAACATGCCAAATATCTTGAGACACCCTGTGGGCTAATGTATGTATATTCATTAAAACATGTCATTGAGTACTGCATAATCTAGCACATTGTATCCTTCAAGACTGGTGGTTTTAAGGTATTTAGTCAAGGCATAGTACTTAAATATGTGAATGTTGCCATCTGAAAGCATGCTTAGTCCCATATATTTTTGTTTTACATTGATGCAAAAGTATTCTCATGGGTTAGATTCAAATTCTGATGGTTTATAGTTCATTTTGACGTGGTTGTCTATTGAACTATGAGTTGAAAGATAGTTGGAAATGCGTTTATGTAACTAAAGATCAAAGTTAAGCTAAAATTAGCCCAGAGCATGGACCTAGACTCCTGCACAAGTCTGTATGCAACATAGGTGGCAGGAATTTCTAATCAACAATTCTTTGAAGCAATTCTGAGTGTGCAGGGCAGCATTGTACCACAAAACTAAGAGAAAGGTGCTGCACTAAGTTGATTTTACAGGAAAACTTGGAAACAACCTTTGGAAACTCTACTTCAGTGCCTCTTGTTTTTTCCATTGTATCCTACCTCTGGACTCTGGTCTAACGATCTGCCTGTGTGCCAGATATAGATGGGTTCAGTCTTTACCTATTGTGGATTGGGCAGCTTCATTAAAACCATCTAGGCTATTGCAGATCTTCCTACGAAATGTGAAGAACAAGGCTATTATTCATATATGTCTAAAAATAACAATATTTGTTCTGCATTTGGGTGGCAGTAGCTTTTACTTCAATAAGCAAAAGGAAAGAGCTTACAGTCAGTGCATGGAAGTTATTCCATTGTGACCTGAAAAAGTCAAACTAGAGAAACATTCTCATGCAAAACAAACATATAGACAGGAGAAACACAGGAACTAAGGCTGTATTGATCATTCAGAATCACTGCTATTGTAGGAAGCATGTCATTTAAACTTTATTATTAACTAATATGTCACCTTAATCATTGTTTTTGTTTTGTTCAGCTTTTTTTTTTTTTTCCTGCCTTTACCAGTGCTGCTGGAAGGCTGCTCCAAAACTTTGCTGTTCTAATCGTTAGATCTTTCTCTGATTTCTGGTCTAAAAAATCCCCAAGCAGTTCTGCAGGATTCCAGTCTGGATGACTGTTGTAGTTCTTTCCAACTTTTACAGAAATTCAGTAGAAAACCATCTCCACCCTAAGGAAAAGGCGAAGTAGAAAGAAACAGCTGTTTCTTGTGTCGGTTGTATCCAGATAGCCAGTACTTGTCAGCTAATAGTCTTCCTAAATGAGTTGTTGCCAGGCTTTCTGTGGGCGTTGTGGCAGAGAAGCATTTTGAGGAGAAAGATGGGTTGCCTTTGTAGATGTTCTATGGAGAGCTTGAAGGGCAACATAAGAGAAAAATGCTGAAATTGCTTATTGGCAGAGCAGAAATCGAGAGTATGAGAGGTGATGAGAGAGGCCATGAAAGACTTAGAGAAGGCTTTAAATGTGAAGAATGTGGAAAATGGAAAGTATCCTGCCAAAGCAGCCATAGAAAAGGAGGAAAAAGTAATGGCAGGGAGAGAAATAGAAGAGAGAGGACCTGGAGCTAGAACAGAATATGGGGGAATCTCAGGTAATTCCCTGCTCTGTTTGTGTTGTGCCACTTTTGAAGGTGTTGAATTCAAAGTCAGAGGTTTAGGTACAATTTGCGTGTCCCACAGTTTCAGAAATCTGCCTTGAGTTGGTCTACGGCCTTTCAGATTGGGATGACCCTGAGGAATGGGTTGGCCTTACAACTCTTAGCAGAGTAGCTTACATCTGCCATAAATAGGGCCTGATCCTGCACTTATCAAAGTCAATGAGGACTTGTCCGTTAATTTCAGTGGCAGCAGGATCAGGCCCACAGCTCAAGTGAAGCTTGCAGTCCTACAAAGAAACATCTTCTTGATATTTTTGGGGCAGGACCTGACCTTGAGAGTGCTGAGGTGGAGTACACTGAAGTTGAAGTATCAACGCTTGATCCTCACAGAGGTAATAACTGTCTGGCCTCTATGGTTATGTTTTGGGAGCAACTCTGGGCATGTTGCTGCTTCCTGACACTGGTCTGATATGGGCATCTGTGAATTTAAGAGCAGGTTGTGTTTTGTGTGCATGACAGTTTCATGCCAGTAGCACTCCTTAATCTAGATGATGCTGTGGCAGCCATGCTGTTCAGTGCAGCCCTTCTTCCCCTGGGATTCTCTTGTGCACTTGCCCTTCCCATCCACATGAGGTCTGTGCAGAGCAGGGCTCCCAGCTGGAGCTGTGGCTCTGGGCAGAAGGCAGCCTGCTGTGAACCTTCATGTTATGGAGTCCAAATTCACTGAGAACCATTTGAGGCTAGCCATAGGATAGGGTAACAGAGAGAACAGAAAGCAGTGGAATTTCCTCCTTTATAAAGGAACTGGCTGAAGGGTCAAAGCTCTAAATACCCTTGTGATAGAGAAGGAAGAGAGACCAGCATAGATTTAGTCTCTCAGTCTGGAGAGGCCTGGAGACCACCCTGGGTTTTGTGGCACATCAGACAGAGAAATGAGAATATCGATGCCCAGATAACTTTGGTCTCCTACCTTGAGTTCTGTGGTAACAGTAACCAGACCTCATAGCATGAGGTACATGTCTTGGCAACCTTGAGGAAGAAATCTCCACTGAAATTTATTCTCAACACCCAAATGCACACTTCAGTCATTCTGTGTCACCTGGAGAACTGTGATATCATTATGCCCTTGTGTTGAAAGCTGTTAAAACTTTCAGAAATGTACAAAAAAATTCAAGTGGCTAGGAGTGAGTAAAACCCACGAGAGACATTTATGCTGTGCTCTACCATCTTTGTTTTAGCTGAATGAGAAGCAGACTGAGGAAGAAATGGACAAATATTTTTTTTCCTGGTAGGAAAGACCACTCACTTATTTCAGAGACCAAAGATATGATTGATTAGTTAGTAATACAGATGTTTGGGCAAAAGTGCTCACTCTTCAAGCGTGGCAGCAAAGCTCTTCCGGAACAGCCAGTCCTCCTGTTCTTTCCCTGTTTTCACTTGCTGGTGTCATTCATAATAGGGTTTTCCCTGTGTTCTAAGCATGCTATCTATCCACCTCTGCTAAATTCTGCACTGAGATACCACAGTTGCTGCACCTTTTCAGAATAGGGCTAATACTTAAATGTTCCAGCTGTTTCTGGGCATGCACTGTGCAATACAATGGTGTAGAATGGTAAAGATATGCTAGTGAATGATTATTTAAATTAAAAGCCCTATTAAATGCAAGATCAGCGTCTCTAAAAATAGCCTTTTCATCCCATTCCTGTATACTATTCCAGTATACCAGACCGAGTAATAAGATTGTATCCGTGCTATGGAGACTGAATCCCATTAAATTGCAAATTGCAAACTAATATTTAAAAGATAGTGTGTAAATGAGATCAGATTATTTTAACTGAATGCTGTCTCATGTTACAGACCTATGTATGGCACACAGAAAATTAATTGATTCTATGAGACTGTCCCATGCTTCAAGTATACTGAGATATGATAGCTCCCTCATCTGTTTCTGTGGTTGCACCCAAGACATAAGTGAATGCTTAGCAAATGCGTGCTTTGGTTACGTAAATGGCAACTGCACCACAAGTATTCCATGTGTTGATCTTTCAGAGCATCTCAAGGGTGCTGCTTAAGTGGAAGGAGCTGTATGAAGCCAAGTTGCAAGGGTAATTCTTTCAGCTCTGCCGTGCCTATCACAATGAGAATGGGATGGGATTTATTCTTGCGAAACGAGAAGCAAAGCTGAGTTTCTTTATGTACCCTTGTAATAGTCACGTACACTCTCAGAAATAATTCAGCCATAGGATTGCCACCGATACACCACAATCATGTTATTGTACAAGTTTTGTTTCAAATCATAATATTCTTTCATGTTTCTCTGTGGGTTATGATCAGCCCTTGTTTAGGGAACAGACCTTCCAGATTATCACCTAACTCCAAATCCCTATTGCACCTCTTTTGATTCCATATGTTCTGAATGAAGACAATACATCATGCTCACCTTTTCTCTGGGCACACATAACTCATCCAGCAGGCTGCACACAGAGTCTGGTTCCTTCTACCTTTTGAGGAACTCCAGATTTCTTTGATCTCTCAGGACTAACTTCAAATTAATTTATCTTCCTCCTGCCACTATTGTCATTGTCAATACTAATGTTCATTTCAGGAGCAGAAGAATTGTATTTTTTGTATTGTGAAAGATTACTGCAGTAAATCCTGCAGTATCTAAGCTATAATAGAAGCCTTTGTGTCACTTTTGGGAATCAGGAATAATTGAATGTCACCTCAAAACAAGTTTATGTAATTGTAGAAGGATGTACATCTTGTCTTTGACGGTGCAGAACTACTTACATTTGAAGACAGTGGTTTCATCCTGTTTTTCCAGCCCTGTCTGCACTAACTGGTCATTTTTAAAATACTTTTTGACACGGGCTAATGGTGATAGCTAGTGCATCAAGAACTTTGTGTACTGTGCTTTTATGTGAGGAGTAAAAACCAGAGTTCGTTACAGCGTTACTGATAGCATTAAGCTCACTAGAAGCAAAGTTTCACTGCTTTGTTTTAAAACTTCATTGTGAGAATAAGTTGATACCTAGATTTTGAAGTAGGGATGAAGAGGCTAGACAAGTACGAGGTAAAGTTGGGACTACATAGTCCAGCTCTTGTTTGGGGTAGTCGTAGTGGAATGTTAAATTGTTATTTAAAGAGGTGGTAATTCTAGAGTATGATTAAATTGAATACTTACAGAAATAATATGCTTGACAAAAATGTAGTGCTTATCTTTTCTAAAGCTTAGTTATGCGAAAAGATGGCAAAGTGATTTAGACCCTTTATTGTTAATCCCAGCAAAAACAAAGGCCAATGCTGAAGTAAGATCAGGAAATATCCCTGAAGTGAGAAGGGAGAAACTGCTAATCTCGGCTAAGTAAGAACATGCTCTTTCTTTTGCTTTTATTGCTGGGTAGTTATCTGCAGGGTGGCAACATTATAAACTTAGTGGGAACAAAATGTCAAATCATCCAAGTAATTTCTCTGCTCACATTTTTTCAGTGCTGAGATGGCTTTTGGAAGATTAACAAAGAAAATAACATGGGCAGTGGCATTTTATCACAATTTAATGAAAGGGGTCTGGAAAAAAAAAAAAAGCAAGCTAAGGAAGTGCCTCCCTCCAAGTCTTTCCACAGAGTCAACAGGAGTAGATTTAGGACTGTAATCTGCTAAAAAAAAAACGTGTTCCAAACGAAATGAGCTACCTCTCATTGAAACTCTGGGAAAATTACTTTTTACTTCACTGGAAATGGAACTGATCATTTAAGCAAGAGTCCATAAGCATATGAAATGCACTTCAAGATCTTCAGACTATTTTGCAAAGAAAGTTCATGCCAAAACTGCTAGTTTGAAAGCTGTGATTAGGCACTCAGTGAAGTGTAGCTCCAACTGTCGTTGAAAATTAATAGCAGTTTTGCAACTCAATTCTGGTGTGTTAGCTCCCAACGTTTAAAGGATGCTTAACAGAATTAAAACCAACAAAATTAATTTTGGGAAATTAGAATGTGGTGCCAGAGACAGTTAGGTTCTTCAGAGTGATGCAGAACAGTAACAGTCCTGATTCTGTCTGGCTGCAGATTATTATGTCTGAATTCTTTAATTGTTTCTTTTTTAAACTTTAACTGGAAAAATCTAACTTCTTAATTTACTGAAGATCCACAGAAATTGGAGGTGATATTGATAGAAATCTGAGGTTTTCTAAGATCCTCAGTTAAACTGAAATGAATGAATGTTTCTAAAACACTTTGAGATCCTTGAACAGCAAGCTCCTAGACCCTGCCTGCATAGGCCTGTATACCAAATAAAGTGGTTTTAAATGCACAGAGTTCTGGAGCACTTTGCTTTGCTATGGTTACCCAGGGATTCTTAATCTGCAGCCATGACAGAAATCAAGGAGATTGTTCTAATCTCTTAGTAGCCAGAGCTGTGTTTACACTGACCACAGGGGAACTTAGTTCTTGCTGTTTTCAGAACTTTTGACAAGGCTCTGCCCCTTCCCTGCTGGGGTGAGTGCCTGTACTTCGGTATCAAAACTCTGTGGATAGGTTTTCACAGATCTCAGATAGCAAAAAAGGAAGAGCTTTTTGCTTTCCATCTCACACGAAAGCAGAGGTTTATAGGGGCTTATTTGTAAACCTAGGGGTCTGAAAAGTGCATGCCCAAGACTAACATTACATTCATATCCCAGCTGTGTCCTTGGAGGCACAAATCTCTGTCTGCTTTTTCTCCTTATTTTCTGTCTTTCCACAAGCCTTCTTAGCCTTCACTTCTGCTATATCCACCTGATCTCAGTGCACTAATGGAAGAGTCCACCACGCTGAAGAACTGAGAGGAGACCTTTCCCAATAGCACCTAAATAGAAGCTGTGCAGTGTGAAATCTGAAAATATTCTTCTGAGACATTTCACAAAGAACAACAAATTAAGTTGGTTTTGTGCCCATAAGATTTAATCAAGCTAGTTACCAAAAGAGGGTGTAGTTAGTCTTCCAAATGATAGTTCTTCTCAGGTCTAGGATTCCTGAATCCTTAGAACAAATTGAAGAAGCTCTTCAAAGTGATCCATAGAAACTCTTCTCTAGTGGTAGATGTCTCTGTAAAATTAAAGCAGTATCAATACAAGTTGAGAAGACTATTAGAATGTGAAAGTCAGATTTAAAAAGGGAAGCTTGTTTTCATCATCATTCTTACATAGAGGGAGAGACATCTCCCTCTCAGAACCTTACAGTCTGGGTTTGGGGTGGGAGCGTAGTTGCTTTTTCATGCAGACTCCACAGGCTCATTGCTGCTTATGTAACTACTTCCTCTGAAAGTAAAACACTGTGTTCTGTTTGTTTAAGGAACTTTTTCATAAGGCAAACCAACAAAAAAAAAAAAAAAAAAAAGAAAAAAAAAGAAAAGAAATTGATTCTGTGCCAATACATTTTCCAGCTCCTGTACAGAAGGGGACTGAAACAGTTTATAGTGAAATCAGAAAAGCTAATAATGGTAAGTAAGCTAGTGAAAAATCAAACACATAAAGGAAGCATTTGTATAGAGATTAGGGATAAATTTGTGACTGGATAGCTTAGAAGATAAATACCATAAAACAGAGATCCAAGTCACACAGGAACATACTGAAGGGCAGCTACGAAATCACAGGTGTTGATAAATTGTATAATACTTCCATGGTTTCTCATAAACCAGTGATATTTAATGCAGTGGGATTAATATTTGTAACATCTTCATCAGCCCATTTGTACTGTATCTGCTACGTAGTTGGGCCATACATCTGAATCTGAAGCAGAACATGCCCTGTTAGGGACTAGGATGATACGTTGCGTTCCCTCAAACTGCTAATGAGCAACATTTTTCCTCTGAGTTGAGCATGTTTGCCATGTGTTATAAAATATTACACTGGTTTTGGATATAACCCCAGCAAATATCTATAAAGCCTCCAACAACAAACTAAAAACCTTTAAAGCAATATGGTCACTTCAGTAGGGTGGGTTGTTTTAAGCATCATCACAAATTGTCTCAGATTGAATATGCCAGACACTCTACCCTGCCACCTCCTGTAACACCTCTTGTATGCAGCTTACTGGCAATCACTGTCTATAAATGTTCTGGCAGTACTGAGTTCAGAGAGAGTAGGTTAAAAGTGTTTCTTCATAGTTTGTGGAATACTAAATCAGAGAGGATTTCCTTTCCTCTCTTTCTGTTAGGAAGTCTGGATTTGTAAATATTAGGGCTGTAAAATGTTCAGGTTTTGTCCCCTTCCGTGTTACCAAGTGGCTTTGTTGTGTGCCATTTTTAATTTTGATCGTTGTGTTTTAATTTGCTATTTTTCTATTTTATAAGGGATTTCCCACCTGCTCTGACACAGTATTGTGTTTCTAGCGAATCTTTCATGTGAAGGTCCCCAAGTACCTTAGAAAACAGTTAGTTTTCCCTTGTGAGGACTCATAAGGCAATTTTTATCTCAATTTTACAGCTGAATAAACAGAGAGATTAGGTCATTTGTTTAAGGCAATGTGTTTAGAGAGTGACAACACTGGGAAGAGAATTTCAAAATCCTGACTCCCAGCTTGGTGCTGAGCCTGTATGTTGTACTCATTTTTCACAGCCTTGCAGTGAAACGCAGAATATCCTTTTACACTAAAGAACAGGGCTGGGCACTTCCTGTAGTATCACCTGGCAGCATCCTTAGAAAAAAACAGCTTGTTTCAGGGCTGAACCCAATAGCCATTAACATTCTGAAACGTTTTCCAGTCAGTGTGAACTGGACCTGTCACAAGCTGCAGAAGCTGATTGTATAACCTCTCCCTTGCTTTCTGTCAAGGTGTAAAGCTGATAATTACACCTTTTGCCATTTTGTTTTTGACATAATGGAAAGTTTTATATACTAGAAGGATGTTTTGTGAGTTGAAGTGTAAACTCAAGGTTGGTACAGCAGAACTATAATTCAAAGCACTTGCCATAAAGTGGGAACTGCAATAAAATGAGATACGATTGAAACACTGAGCCGAATTAGCCAGATGATATGCAAACACCCCTTAATCTTGCAGTCCACCTGCTCTTTTATGCATAACATTCTACAGTTTCAGTTATTCTTGGAAACATAGTAACAGTTTATTGTTTTAATCACGTCTGTTTTTCCTGACTGATACACAGGAAAAGTGTTTCAAATAGATAAGCAGTGCATCACAGAGCTATGTAGTCGCTTTGGATAGCTACATTACAGTCTATTTAAAAGTAGCATTAACTTCCATTTTTGATAGGCTGTGTGATTGCAAGGTGGCAAAATGCAGCGGAGGATCCCTAGGAAATGGATCTATCCTGTTAAGTACTTTAATATATATTAATACAAGTGTGTTAAAGGCCAATTGTGAAAGATTTTGAACATTACTGATGGGTGCAGAAGTCGGTTTACCATTATGGTCTTCACTACTTTTGAATACAATTTGAGATTTTTTGAGCAAATGCCCAAGAGTACAATCTACTTCAGGAAGTTGACGGTTCAGACAAACGTGTCCTCTGGGGAAATTACATTAATTTGGGAATTGGTGTCAGCTACACAGTTTGACAGATTTAACACCTAAGACCTATGTGACATTTTATTATTATTTATTTGTAGGTAACTATTGAGTGCTTCATAAGCAATTTTGTCTTTTCAAGGAGTTATCTCTGCATTCCAGAAATTCTGTCCACTACAGAGGAAGCTGAAGAGCTGTCAGTAGTTGTTAGGTCCGATGCAATTCTTTGTCATTGAGCTAAAATATTTTTCTCATCATTTTTCTGATGGCTCTCACTGCTGTCCCCAGTAAGGCAGATGCCATGTCAGTAGCCAACTTCTCTTGTATTTCGAGTTCTACAGCAGTTGCTTGTCCTTATCTCAAATCATGAATCCACAGTGCAGACAATGCTCTGACCTTTCCCCAGGCCTTTGGCAGTGGGCTGCACATCTGCCATTATTCCTTTTTATTTTCCTGGTATTTGCTATGTTATCTCCTGTTACTATCTTTTTACTGTCTCCATCACACTATGGTAAGACTTCCTGTCCTGTTGCTGTGCTGCTTTCATTATTCTGAGTGTCAGGCCTAAGGAGGTGTTACATTAAAGACAGATAGAAACAAACTGTCAAATACACATTTCAAATCTCCCAAGACCTGCCTGTGGTTAACTATAGCTAACCCAAGACCTGCCTGTGGTTAACTATAGCTAACCTGTTCACAGTACAAAAAGCAGGTCACTTGCAAATTCAAGCCTAGTCAGGTGTATTTTGATTGAAAGTCAAATAATAGTACTGTAGATAGAGAATGTCAGTCTCTTTAGTTGGACAGTAGATTTCCTCTGAGATAATAAGAGGTTTAAGGAGGATGCTGATCACCAGCATTGTCTCTGGAAGCAACTTGAAGAGATGAAGTTGTCCTTGCATCGTTATCCAAGGGTTAGTTTAGTTCAAAGAGAGAAGATTTAGTGTTCAAGAGGTTCACCCAGGTATTGATTTAAAACCTTTTCTAGAGCAATAGGCTGTTACTTTAGTTTTTACATAAAATACCTAAAGCTTCAAGCCTCAGCTTTAAATCAAATCTTACATACAAATGGCAATTTGAGGAATAGTCGCAATTAGTACCAGTGAGGTCAATAACACGTTTTTCTAAAAGTCCTTCACACCTATCAGGATGAAACTAATTTCCTTAAAATACTGCTTTTTCTGTGCTCTATGAAAAGGTCAAAGTATATTGAGAGTCAGGAATATCCAGCCCAGTCCCAGAGCTGTTACTTTTTGTTCAGAAAGAACTGAGACAGTCCAAGACTTAAGCAAAACAGGCAATTGTCTACATCAACAGACTGCCAAGAATGATAAAATGACTGTGGCCCTGCTGCCTACTTTGCCTGTGCTGGAGTCCCAACAGGCCAGGCTGGCAGCTGATGCTCTTCCTGAGGGAGGGGTCAGGATGTGTCAGATAGTGAGTTCAGCTGAGTGGGTGGAGGGTCTTTTAGATGCATGATTTACTTCCATCACACCTTTCATCCTTCCAAGAGGCATTAGGGGCAGGAAGTCCCAGCATCTCCCTCCATACTGGTGCTTTATCTCAGGTCCACTCCTTCCCTCAACATTGATCCCAGTTCTTGGGGTAGCAGAGTTCTGTTCATATTGCTCAGCAGATTGGAGCTCACTCGAGTTCACAGATTTCCTTACGTTTTCACAGGACACTTCTTGTGGAAAACAATGTATTAGTCTTGCTCCTTCAGTGAGCTCTGCCTTTGTTCTGTGCCAGAGCCAAAGCTCAGAGAAGCCAGCTAGAGGCTTTGCACTGATCTTGACGTGCACTGAATTGAACTCATAGTGGCTTATTGCAAGATAGCTATTCCTAATTTCTTATTAGGAAAATGGAAATCTAGTGAACAAAATGCAGAACCAGCCTTTATGCTGCTAAGTCTGGAAAAATGATTTGGTCACTTGGAAGCAACTGTGGTGGCGAGACAGGAAATTCTAAGAATCCTATTGCAACCAACAATGTACTGTGGAAAAATAAATATACCCCAGTGGAAAGAGGCATGAGAAATCCCCATCGCATTCAGTGGTTTGGAACAAACCGTTAGAAACCAGTTTAGCAATCAGGAAATCTGCTCAAATACTTTCCTGCTACTGAGCCTCAGGCTTAACACCTCTGTACTTAGCCAGAGTTTCCCACTGCATGCCGTTTCCAGCATGAAGAAAACTCGCAGTCTGAGGACTTGTTATGATATTCAAAACTCAGGACTTATGAGCACATGATAATTGCATGCAGTCTGAAATCATGCAAACAACCTTTGCCTTCTCCAAAATAGAAACTCTTTGGATCTTTTACGTTTCAAGACATGTTCTGCAGCAAAACCTGGATCTGAGAGACATTGATTCCAGAGCCAAATGCTTACAATAGCTTCAGCCAAAAATTAGGCAAAGCCAGATGGTTTCAGCAAGACACAAATATACAGGGAGGTCCTGACCTTGCTTGAACCTAAAATGCAAAGCTGAATTGCGTGCATGTCTCTGTGTAAGATCTGTTCCCAAGCTGCCTGCCAAGAGTCTCCATTAGAAGCTACTGCTCCAATAAAAGGCTTGCCAGAAGGTAGCGTGTGTCTGCAGCTCAGCAACTTCAGCTGATATCTAGCATCTTAGCTTTCACCGGTGTTGGAGATGGGTTTGAGATGGATTGTGAATCGCAACTGTTTAGGCATGTATTCTCTTCTCCATAACCTCTAGCAATAAGACAGGAAGGAGCAGGTGGTTTTTTTTCCCCTGCCGTTAACGTATTCCTGTGTAAAAATGTGTTCTTTGAATTCAAAACTCCATCAACTAAAAGCAATAGCAAGATTTTAAATCCGTTAGAAATCTATTAAAAGGCTTACCTTTATTAGACTTGGGAATCTTTTAGAAATCACCAGCACCAGACCTTCAGCTCTGATTCCTTTCAAGAAATATGCAGCTCCCTGTTTGCCCTGCTATGGAAGCTCGACCAATTTTTCTGTATGTGACTAGAATCCAGCATATCTCATTTCCCTCATTTTTTGTTAGTAAGGACAAGCCAGGTGTCATTTGAAAACCTCTGTTCTCATTCATCACAGTAAAATCAGTGTGTTTCAAGTAAAAAACACTTCATATTTTCTAACAGGAATTAAATAAAAAAGCTTGTGAGAAGACTGACATAGCAGAGAATCAGCAAAAGCACCATATCGTCGTGCTTTTATTGGAGGCTACATGCTGGCTTACCTGGTTGGTACCTTTGAGAAATCATACAGCCTTCCAGCAGCACTTTCAAAGGACACAGATTAGGACACTCTCCTGGCAGATATCATACTTAGGTGGAAAACCACACTAGTTTGATTCTGGGTGACACATAACAAGGAGATGGGATATCTGTTATTGTGACCTAATAGCTTTGGGGTAGCAAACATCCCGTTGTTTGAAGTTTGGAACTTATACAAAATTTCTCATTTCCTCCTTCCTGCCAGCACAATACATTGTGACAGAGGACTAAACTACAGCTCGTTAATACCTCACGTCATCAACCTTACATACGGTTTTGTCCACTTAAAGTCAGGCTTTGATGTAGCACTGGGTCAGCAGCATTTTTGTTCACTTCTGTCAGCTTTCAGGACACAAAAAGCTTTTATGTGTTTCCCATGTAATTTTTTTATTTTGTTTCTTATCAAACTGGCTAAACATATAATGATCAATCTTGCCAAATATTGAAATCAATTTTATACTGAAATGAAGTTTATGCACTGGTATAAGGTGCTGTAGTCACCTCAGTTTTTAATCCTTTTCCTAGGCTAAAAGTCATGAGTAGAACTATCCTGGAGAAAACTCACAGCGTACAGTGCCAGTGACGCCCATGTAGTCTCTCTGTGTTTCAGGAATTGTAGCCTGGTGGTGCACTGTGTTCTCGGTGCTGCTTTCAGTGAAGCAGCACCCTGTAACAAAAAGGTGGATGCTAGAAAGCGTATGAGCTTAACTGCAGCACAAATATACCTGGATGTAATCATAAAGGAGAGACACAAAGAGACTGTAGCATTGTGTGCAAAGTTAGATCCCCCGGTGTTCAGTTTCCTTACTGCTGGCGTGCAAAGGGGTTTCTAAAATACTTATTTATGGTAGTAGTACTTTTCATAATATCCTTCGTTTAATGATTTCGGAGAACTTACATGTGTTCTGCCTATGAGAGGACTGATGTTTTTATTTGCTGTTTTAAAAAGACATACTTAGAAAAAACAGATTCAGAGACTATCCCAAGTTTATAGAAAAAATACTGGCAAGATTAACCCAGAGCCCTAGTTCAAACCCTCTGCTTTGAGAATTAGATTAATTTCCGTGACACAACGTCTCTCTACTGAATTTGATATACTTCAAGAAAATATTCAAGATTCAGCACTTCCTTTTGTCACGTGTGAAATATCTTAACACACCATACAAAAGAGTACTTTTGACAAGACTTGAAGTCCTTTTCTTAAAGAGTTGCTTTCCTCATGTCTCTAAATTGTCTTACATTCAGAGGGCAAAGAAATATTTGTGGTTTAGTATTTGAGGGTATTCTATGAAACTTTTGTGTGGCTAAATCCACTTCTTTTTAAAAAAAAAAAGCCTAAGATCTAGTCTTAAAGTTCACTGATCCTAAATGGAAAGAGCCTGCTGGCTGTCAGACTTTCATGGGGAACAAGCATAGTTTTATTAATAAAATTTCAGGTGTCTTTGCAGGATGTTATTTGGCTCTGAAAATTGTATCCTATACTGGATTTCTACAGTATGCTATTTTCCTGGCAAGGAATTGGAAGAAAGAGTATAGCGCTCGTGAGAACTTGCCTCTAAAAGGAAGACTCTTTTTTGTCCAGTAACAGTTTGTGCTCTCAGTAGAGACTTCTGCTCTAAACCAGAACCAGGAAAGCTGTCAAACACATACTGTTCCACATGGTCTTTGACATGTCTGGTCCCACCCACGTACTGGAATTAAGCTAGTGCTTGGATACTTAGCACTAGCAGAGCTGGAGTCTAAGTTGTAGGTAGCAATTTTACATCATGGCAAAGTGACCAAAAAGGTTAGATTAAACATGAAAGTCTATTTTCTGGAACATAGAACTGATCACTCTGCAATGTGTTATTTCATAATTTATACCTTCTTTTTTATTTTGCAGATTCTGTGGAAAACAGGCATTCTGTAAGTATACGTTTTTTGTAAGCAGTTAAATATAGGGAAATTGGATTGAGATTGTTGTGTATCTAGTAGGATAGTGTTCAAGTGTTGTTTATTTATTGTTCAGGACAGCTACTGGGCAATCCCTTTGTATATATTCTTACTAATCAGGCTATCAGTACTATGTTTATAGAACGGTAAGCTTTAAAAGTCCGTGGAACTGACTGGTATTTGGTAGTGTTGGTACAGGAGGTGGATAACAAATACTGATCTTCCCAGAGTTTGTGTTGAACATGTGCACAGCTTTGGATATATGCCACAAATATTTATGCTGATAGAACGGCACAAGGTTGGGGATGGTTGCTGCTTGCTTCAGGTTCCTGAAGGACCTGAGGCACTCAAGATTCGCTATGAAAACCTGCTAAGCTGCTTAATGTATCCCTGGGGACAGAGCTGCTGTTCCAGTTCCGCCTGTAAAACCTATAGGGTGTTTAGTGCCAGTGAATCTCCTCGGGGTGTGCCTGCTCACATGCTCACACATACATTCTGTGATTGGAATATTGAGAGAAGTGAGGTCCTTCCTAAGATGTGAAACGAAGAGTTAAACTAAGGAGGAATGGTTGATCACCTGAACTCAGGCAGAAGTCAGTTCTATTCACTGTCTGTGACTGTTTCCTTCCAGGTTCATTTTCATCCACTATAGCAAGTATAGTAGATGCTATGACTGTAAAGGCTGCTGGTGAAAACTGAGAACTTGCCAGAAATTTTGAAGGCAACCAAATTTTACTTCAGAGTACATAGATATGTCACAGGTGTGCTGCTCTAACCAAGAGGTGACAATAGTACCATCCATATGTGGAGGATTTCAGCTAAACAATTAGGAGCTCTGTGAAGGTTCTGTAGGTGTGAACAGCTTTAGAGGGCTAAGAAGCCAGTGAAAAAATATTTTTTTTTTTAAAAAGAATAAATATCTTGAATGATCTGTTACTCTGCTCTCAAGAGAGTACATACATTTCAAGAGTACTTTTATGAATGTTAGATAAGGTATCTAATCCAACCTCAAACCAGGCAGACAGGGTGGTTTTTTCTGCCATCCACTTTGTGACTTTGGAACTGTACTTAAAAAGAAAAAAAGAGAGAGAGAAAGACTCATAAATAAGAATCACAATAGCACAGTCTACGTCAGCTCATGGCATCTATTTGAGTTTTGAAAGGCTCCATCAGCACTCACATCCCCATGGGATAAAAAAGCAGCCCATTGTATTATTTACAGACGCTGGCAGTGCACTGAAGGTCACAGATTGTGTTACAATAAACAGACATATATTAACAGGCCAGTAGGGTTTATAGTATCATTGTCTCTCTCAGTTTAAAGGTTTGTTTTTATTCTTTGCTCTCAATTTTCTAAAAATAAATTGAGCTGAACCCTCCTTTGGGTTACACCAGGCATTCCTTGGAGAGTCACGCAGAAGAAGGTTTGTCCCTGTCCAGCACAAAAGGAAAAATGGTCAAGAGTGGCTGCAATAGACATCTGGCATGAGCTCAGGGAGGATTTTTTGTCTTTTTTTTTTTTTTTCCCACACCCTACGTCGTTTGTAATGGACATGGGATGAAAGACTAAAGTTTTATGAAGATTTTTTTGTTTTCTTTTCCTGTGGCCAAAATTGAGTAAAAGATCTCTCCATGGAAGTATAATGAGGCTGCTTCACTGAAAAATACACTGACTGCCCCACGTAAATCACTTTCATCATAATCAATTGGGCCATTAAAGCTTGCTAAACCAGACAATCTATGAAGTAATGTTAGATTCAAGGGAGAAAAGTGCCAGCTGAGGGCAATGTTTTCTTTGTGTTGTCTGTGAAAACTCCTGTTAACAGCAGGAGAGTAATAAAACTAGTTACTCTAAAACTAGTCCCATTTTCAGAAACACTCCAAAGAAAAGTCAGCTGTATAATACTTGCACATCCTACTTGAGTTTCCTAGAAGTAGCCTTACTCAGTTCACGTCTGTGACATTGTCCCCTCCTCAGGTGCTGTTCATGTATTTATCATAGCAACTATTCTTTTTTTTTTTAATTATTACAGCTTTGAAAGACATAGCAAAAAAAAAACCCAAACAGATCCCCATCTTCTGCTTCTTAAATTCCCACTTCTATTCCCAGTAAAGCCTGTGACAAAAAGCAGCACCATCCCTCTTGTGAACTCTCCAGTTAAGTGACCTAAAGTTTGACTGGACAGTTACATTTCTTTATAGATTTTTCCATCCCCTCCATCTGCGTCTCAGCACTTTACAGGCAACATAGATGAGTACAGAAGAGGCAGGGAGCTACTAAGGTGCTTTCTATCACTATTTTCTTGCAACTGTTTTTTTCTGTAGCTCATTTTCACACAGTGCTTTACTGTGATGTATCTCAGATGTTTGGTCCGAAAGAGGAGTTGTTGATCCTACTCATGAAAAGAAAATGCTCCTTATAAAGTGATCAAGTGGCTTATACTTCCTCCCTAGCTGTTTTGCTTCTTTATAGCCAAATTAAGTATTTGGCTCAGAGGTGAAGTTGCTTTTGATCTGCTACTCCCTTAATTTGTGAGTGAAAGGAGGCCTTCAGGATCTAAGCTGGTCAGCTGGCATCTTAATCATATGAAGTGCCAGATGGATTACTTAGCTATAGTGACCTGTCAAAAAACATAGAGAATTTGACTCTGTTTAGGAAGTAATAGGTATTCCAGTAGCATGGAACAAAGGGCACCACAGCAGAGAGAGTAATGTTTTGCTAAGAGCTGTGTTTTCAGAGACAGGAGGACATGCAGCCTTTTTGTTTCAGTAATGATGGTGGAGACTCAACATCAGATCCTGCTGTCCTTTTCACTCTCTAAATTCAAGTAACGATGTGGGTTCCACTCCTCAGATAAACTCATTTAACTTACTCAGTTCTGTATTGATCTTCCAGAAGTCGAGTACTGCACTGTGGAAAAGAAAGATGAAGCAAATAATTTTAATGAGTGCTAGCCCTGCCCTTGTGCATTTACCCCTTCATAGTTTCTGTCAGAATAAATGTAATCCAACATGGAAATTTAGGAACTTTGCTTCATCTTCAGTAAGAGACCATTACACAATTGAGCTCAGGGCTTTAGTAAACGCTGTGTACCGACAATAAGTGTTGTGTTACTCAGAGGCACTGAAAGTGTTTCTATTATGTCGAGAAAGGTGGTGCATTAGAAAGCCAATCAGTTAAAGTTTGAATTATTTGAATTGTGTAAAGTCCCAATTGCAGTACAGGTTGTGACTGATTTGCAGTCCAGAGTACCTTGAACCTGAATGTCTTGGACTTTTAGGTCATTGGGAAATGAACCCAAATTTTTGGGTTGAGGGTTGCTTCCCTCTTTCTCCTCTGTTTCAGAATTTTGTATCTTAAATGCCATCCATAGGAAGTATTTGCAAAAGAAATGAATTACTTAGAGAGGAACTGGGAGGAGGTTTCCTTCCTGAAATCAGAGCTGGCAATCTTTCTAAGTTATTTAATGGTCCTAGTTTCTGAAAACATATTGAAGGAAATATCTTAACAATGAGATAGCTACTTCGCCAAATACTAATTGGTATTGTGTCAAATTTACCTCAGCAGCACATTCTGACTTCATATCTCCTCCTCCCCTATTACCTCTTAGATGTGTGTGTTTGTTTGTTTGTTTGATTCTGTCCTAGGGGTACATGAGGGCTGGCAGCCTCAGTCAGGACATAGCGTACTTTTAGCTGCCTAATTGTTCAACCTCAGAATGTACCCTCTGAGACAGAAACTTGTAGAATTTAAATCTATTCAGATAAATTTCTGTGGGTTTTTTTTCAGCCACTTTCTCATCTTACTCAAGTGATCCCAAAAGTATTTTGTAAGTTCTCAGTGGTAAAGAAATTGCTTCACATTGCCAGCACAACATAGGCAGCGCTGAAGGGGGACCTGGCATGTGTTTAACTGTGCTCAGTAACATGGCACAATAGTTTCAGACAGGAAATGAAGATGAAGGATGTGTCCATTTAAAATTGTGGAGGGATTTCAGGCAGTCAGGATATGAAAAACAAGGTGATACTCTGAAATAAACATTGAATTATAAACCAGGAATTCCTGCCTCTGACTCATGGGGCAAATCCTTGGGGGGTAAGTCCACAAAAGGAATTAGGCGCCTCAGTGCTGACAGACTCAACTGTTAGGTTAGAGGCCACCACGTCCTCTTAGCAGATATTTGTTGGAGGAAGACTTGCTTTGGCAACTGGTGTCAGGAAAGACTTGACAGTTGCGAATCCTCAGTGGGCAGAATTATTTCTGTCATATAATGTAAAGACAACAAAGTTTGGGATCTCCCTTTGCCTTTTCCCATTGGTTAGCACAGAGGACTCCTCTGTCTGCTCACTGCCTTTTGTGGTTCCCAGTGCCAGGTTTCTGTGTCCCTGCTGGGTACTGAATAGACAACCTATTCCAAGGAGCAGGCTCTTGTAGAAACATGGTGTCTAAAAGTTGAGCGCTGCATTGCTCGCTGTTGAGATACTCAAGTGCTTCTTAGGAAAAGGTTTTCATTCTTGTGGGACTGAAGATAGGGGCCTAATAGTGGCAACTGGGCATCTACTAGTAAATAAGGGATCTGACCTTCAGATTCCTTGAGTGCCAGCAGTTCTCTTAAGAATCCAGCTTTTATCAGTAACCACCCAGTTGCAGATGTTGGTGATTAACAGTATCACAGTCTAGCCTGTAATTGTTAGCCTAAATCTCCCACTGTCTTATTTCCTTTTTTATTTGATGAGGATCATACTAATATCTCCCCAGGGAACTGCATGTATTAGCTCATTGTACAGTGCTATAAGGAATATGTTACTATATTTAAAGTTTTTGTATTGATCAAAAAGGACAGGAGAGGGCAGGTGGACATTCATATTCATACCTTTTTTTTTTCTCTTTTTTGGTCTTGTTGCCAACAGAGAATACAAGGGCATCCTGATGCTACTTAGAACAGTCATCTCAAAGATCAGCTGGGAGAAGAAAACAAGCCAAGATGGAAGATGTTGCAAATGTTTCAGAAGTTCTGCAGCACTTATTTATGAGTTTTGCCAGGCTCTTCTTTTCAAAGTTTATTTCCTCAGGGGGAACAACAGAGATGTTCCTAAAGCATTTAATGGAAAAAATTACAAATAAAAATTCTCATAGGAAAGTGGGTCTAGAAACCACTGACCTAGGTTCCCGTCTTTGATTTCTCCTGCTAATGCAATTTTGCCTTTCTAGCCTCCAGTTCATCACGCTCTGAGGAAATAAAAGGGCAAGCTACAGCTGAGGAAGTACATTTCTACAGTGCAGTAACTACTGTGATGATAGTAGGATGTAAAAATATCTAAGCTTGCTTTAAACTAGCTAACTTGTTATCAGTAACACTCTACTGTGGCAGAACAGAGCTCAGCACAGCTTGGCCAGCCATGTACTTTGACATGATCTTGCAGCTTGTGCAGAACTCCCTGTGCTGCAGCAGCTGGACTGCTACCAGTCTTGGAGCCAGCTAATTTATAGCTTATTTGGATGCTAAACTGCAATGAGGGCCTAACGGAAGAGCAAGCTCTGGGCTCTCTAAAAACTTGAATAACTGTTCAGAGACTCAGTACTTTACCAAGTGCTTCTATTAGCAGAGGCACACATGTTCTTTATTCTCTTCACTAAATTGCTTTTCACCTTTAAAAGTTCTGATGCTTGTTGGTTAGTTTCGTGTGATGGTTCTTCAAGGAATGATTGCACATCATGGTTATTTTGGATGATGCAAATATAGGTCTTAAGTGGGTGGATATACTACACCCAGGTCAGGGAGTTTGTACCTGAGAATTCTGTTATGTATAATCCTTATTCCTTTGATTTTAGGAGAGATCTGAAGTTGTACTTGTGTCCAGTTTGCCCAGTATGGAACTCCATGCCTATCCTTTTTCTCTATAGTGTGATAAACCACTAACATGGATCCACTTTGGACCTGGATCTAATCTTTGCAGCCCATGTTTATCTCAGTTGATTAGTTTAAAAAAGGAACATGAAACAAACCAGAAAAAGTACTGTCCCCAGCCCCTTAACCAGCTGGTCTTTGACACTGCAATTGCTCTCCTTTTCTTACTGCAGATTAAACTACTGCACGATCTGGGCCACAGGTAAGAAGGTTCTCATTTTAATTAGAAAATAGTGAAAGAGAGGACATGGATTTGTATATACATATCTACTTACTGCTTTAAGCATTGCATCAAAGGTGCAAAGCCAGCAAGAAATACAAAAGGGTTGTATATCCTCATTCCAAACGTATAAATTTTCGAGCTCCAGTTACTGACTAATATCTCTAATTTATTTTTCCCTATGCAAATGTTGTTTGTATCATAAGCCTTTCACAAATGACTGACTTGATAGCGCTCTTCTGTTGACAAATGTTCTTTCTAGCATCCCATGAGTGTCCATGCAAATGCATTAGTGTAAGGAATGTGAAAAGGTATTTTAATAAAGAAAACTCTGAATTGAACTTTGCACTGGATCTTGCATGTTCATATTAATGACCCCTTGCAAATGAATGCCTGTGAAATTTTTTTTTAGTGATGAAGCATATAGATAATGTTACATAAATTTACATATGGAAGACGTCGGCTCTGCAACAAGTGATTCCAGGCACTTAGATCTGTTGTCATGAACCAGTTTAGCAGCAGGTGAAAGCACTGAATTGGTTTAAGAGTTGAGCATGGGAGTGCTTGCATTCATGTAAGTATTTTGCTAAATTACAAAGGTAGAAGTTCCTCCACAAACCTTTCCACAGTCCCTGGCACAGCTCAGGGAAACACTGGTTTCTGGGAAGATGCAGAATGTCATCTGGGCAAGATGGAGCAGCAGTGGGACAATTCATTGATCCATTTCAGCTTGTCTCCTGGCTGGAATAATCCTAAACTAATTTGGGTTTAGTCTGTAATAAAAGTTCTTTGCTCCTCTGAAACGTATCTGATGTCCACTTCTTCGAGTGCTGTGCGCTGCTTTGAGCACTTACGTTTTGTCCTACGGATGTACCGAAAATATTTTAAAGTATGGGACATTAGAGCAGCAGACATCTCCAGTGAAGACAAGGTTAATGGGCCCATGAAGTAGCTAGACAAGGAGCCCAGATGTCCTGTTCGAGCATGTCTTCTGGATGCCAAACAAGTGTCGTTATCCCATTGGAAACATTTGGGAAATAAGGCTTGAATCTGTTACTGAAATACATTAAAGCTCAGATTAGAACTCAAACAGTATGTTACTCAAAACCAACCAAAAAAAGTTCAGATTTCTGTGTTGTTACCCAGCTGAGCTCAGCAAATGTAAAATGAGGTGTGTTGCTACATATTTACTTTTTGAGAAGACAAATGGAACATGCTCAGGCCCTTTGTGGCTGCCCTGTCCCAGCAGTTCCACTGACAGCCCCGCATCCCGTGTGTACCAAGCGTGGTCAGGAAGCGGCCGCCTTGCTTGGTTAACGCTGTAATATTTTCACTGTTGCAGAGCAGAGGCTGTAGGGATGAGATACAAAAACGCTTTAAATCAACAGACTTTTCTTTGCCACTCTTAATTTTTTTCATTTCCAGCAAACCAGCAGCTGAACTTATTTTCTTGTCTAATGTAAGTGTATTTCTGTGTGCCCTTTCGTGGAAAAATCAGTGATTGTGATCCACTGTCTGGTTGGTGCTGGAAACTACCTGAGAGGGCCACGGAGTGCGCGGTGTCACCGCCGGTCGGTGCCCGCTTTGGTGCCACCGGTGCCCAGGGCAGAGGGACGCCGAGCGCCTCGGGCCTCGATCCGCTGCTGACCTCTGGTGGCCACCGGCCCGCAGGGCCACGGGGTGGCGAGCGGTCCCTCCCGCCCCGGGCTGCCCGGCTCGGGCGGAGGAAGGGGGTGCCAGCGTGCGGGGAGCGCTGGCACCCCATTCCTTGGTTTCTGGGCCAGGTTCTAGCTCTGTTAACTGAGCCGTATGACTTTTGTTCCTGCAGTGGTGTCATCTCCTCGGCTGGACCTCTGCCGCTCTTACAGAAAGGTTTTCAAAACCCAGCGTAAACCTACCAACCGTGACTTCGTTTTCTCTCGCATAGGTCAGTGAATTGTTGGCAAATGCTGGGGCACTGCTTCCGTACAGAGTACACATCCTGTTCATCCGTGGGTGAATAACCTCAAAGTTTATTTACTTTCCTGGGGTGTTATGTGCTTGTTCTAACTGCTGCTTGGTGAGCTTGGTTCAGTTCGAGTTGGTTATGTTGCAATTCATCACTAAGCTGTCTTGCATGATAAGCCCCCAGCTTTTGGGGGCAGGGGAAGTAATGCTGTCAGACTGGTTTTGTTGTGAGGGAGAGGACAGGTACAGGGAAAGGAAACAAAGTTTGAGAAAAACAGAGCTATCAAATGAAAGAAAACTAGAAGTCAAACTGAAAGTAATAAAATATCAGTACAGATTTAAAATGCTAGCACGTTTTATTATTTAGAATTTCAAGGCCTTTCTGAATAGACTGGTGAAAGCAGAATAAACATCACTTTTACTGTTATTTGAGAGGTAATAAGCAAGTTGTCAGGTCTAAAGAATTATAAAGAATGGGGCTTATTTTCTTCATGCTTTGAAATGCTCCACTCAATCACAGGTGCTCCCATTAAAAAAAGCTTAGTGTCTAGCAATCATGAGAATGTGGCTTGCATGGGAAGTGTCAATTAAATGTGAGCATTTATATTTATACAGATATTTTGTTTTCTCACCAGCCACAGACATGCTGAGTGGGAAGGTTGAAAAAATTCTCACCATTGCAGGAAATAATCACTGTAGTTAAATTTTAATAATTGCGAAAGAAATCACAGTTTCCTTAGGGAGGGAGTCACCTGCAAAGTCTGATGACAAACAGAATAATAGCATGAAACTGAAATGCAAGGTTTAGCACAAATCACCAAAGGTCTAGGCAGCCACTGCAAAGGCACTTGGAATATGCCCCGATCAACCTGGGATCTGCAGTTGCACTGAACTCTGTGCTGTACCAGTGATTGTTAGAAACGGATCTCACACGGTATCCTGGGTCCGACTGCATTCCCAAGGTTGACAGGAATTCTGATTCAAAGAGGTGGCTTTTCCCAAGCATTCCTGTGTTTATAGTAGTCCTGTGACTGCTAGGAGAAGTAGAAAATGTACCTGTTAATAAAAAGCACTTTTTTAGGTAGCAGCACCATTGATCTGAGAAGACAATAGGTTCATTCCAACTGCTGCCGTCAGTGTGTTAGTCCTGTGTGGGGACACAGAATCACGGAATGGTTTGGGTTGGAAGAGACCTTAAAGATCATCTAGTTCCGACCCCCCTGCCATGTGGTCATGAGGCCCTGAGGAGCCTGTCTGATATACAGTTGCTCTGATAGACTGTGATATTGACAGCGGGAGTGTGTGTCTTCCAAGGAAAACATCATATTACACTGTTACTTAGCTGGCACAGTCCAAGCCCTGCGCAGTGCTTGCTGAAAGCCTGTTTCCGCAAAGCACTTACCAACACTTGCAAAGGGAGAGCTTGGCTTTAAATGCTCTGCACTGGCTTTTGTTTGTTCATTTTTTAGCTGCACATAGAGCCAAGTCTCCACTGCAACGAACACAGTTTCACTTTGCAAATCAACGAGACAGTGCTACAAGGGCTGAAAAGTCTCGCCTGTGAACTTCATGTGGTTCAAAGCTGCCAAACTGATGTCCCTGACTGGCTGCTGTCTTCATGGAACTAATCAGTACCACGTCTGAACCCCCCTGTGGCTCTCACCATCCACTCAGGCTGTTCCTTAGTGGAACCTTCTGGAGTAGTTCAGGCTCCAACCAGCAGTAAGTTGTGGAAATGTGTTCTCTCCCAAGTGCAATCACTGCTTTCCAGACCTGGCTTTTCCTTAGGGAACTCTCTGCTCTGTTTGGGGATGTGCTTCCAAGACAGTGAAAATAAGAGCTGTCCTCAGGAGTGGAGGGGACAGAGAGGCTGACATCAATGGGACAAAGACAAGGGCTTTGTCTTAAGTGGGCTGAGTCATGGTATTACTGGAAGGGGTGAACTTGGCCTCCCTGCTTGATAATAGGCTGTGAGAGTCTAATGGAAGAAAAAATTGTCAAAACTATTAAGATGCGGTCAGAGTGTAAGTCAATTAATGAAAATTACAGCCACACAGGCTATTAAATTAACATGAGATTGTCAATATGAAATACAGATTGCTTTGAATAATTTTAAATTATTTAAAGCATGGTAATAACAAAAATCTCACAAAGTCTCCATAACACAAAACTTAGTTTTGATTTTATTACTGTTTGAGTTGTTTTTTATATTTTTTGTTTCAACTTCATGATTGTTAAAGGAACAGGAGCTTTAAAGAGCAAGACGTTCTTATCTAGGAATGCCAAAAGCTGCAAAAGCTGTTACGAGGCAAAAGCTCAGTGGTGGCTGGAGCTGAACTGTGATGCTGCAGCGTGATCCATGGCAGAGCTGAAATCAGGGAAAGCCAAA